GCGATCGGAAAGCTGCCGATCGTAAAACGTTCACCTCAACGATCCACGCGGTGTTAGGGATCGGCTACAGTCGGACCGAGGTACACGATCGAGGTCAGTTCGGGAAGGTTACCCTAGTGTTCGTCGTGTTTGTTAGGTGTGTTTGTGCATCGTGGGGGAGGATATCCTAGGATGTTCTGCATGCTTTGGCCAGCGGAGGGCCTCATGTTCTTGAGGGATGTTCTTCTGGCCTAGGTCCGACTGTAAACCCAGACCCCCGTCGTCATGACTTTTTCATGACGTTGACCCCCAGAGGTCTGGACTCATTCCCCGGGACCAGTTTCTCATCCTGAGTCGTTTTTTGAAGGCCCCGAGGCCCCGTAGGGGCCCCCGGAGGCCGAAGATAGGGAAAACCTCCCGTCGCGATTTTTGTCGCAACGCGAGGGGGTCCTGGGAACGATGCTCCGTAAGGGCAATCTCTTCTCCTCTGCCCCCCCCCGACCCTCCAGAGGGCGGCCCCTGGTCGCACCGCGGCCGCCTGGCGACGACGCCGCGGCGGGCGCCGGCGGCGGCGGCACCCTGGGGCTCGGTCTGCCGGCGGCGCCAGCCTGGCGCCCAGGCTCCCGCTCGCCAGCGTCGCTCGTCGGCGTCGTCGGCCGTCCACGTCAACGCCGTCGGTGTCGCGTCGATCGCCACTCGTCGGCGTCGTCGGCAGCGTCGTCGCCGTGGTGGTCGGCGGCGTCGCCGTGGTCGTGGTCGCCGTCCGTGGCCGTCGTCCGTGGTCGTGCTCGCCGCCGTCGCCGCCGCCTGCTGCCCCTGCTCTGCGCCCACTGCCACCGCGGTGGGACTGTTCGTCGAGCGTTACGGAACGTGCCCAGGAGGCTTCAGACCCTGGAGGGTTCCCTACCTGACGAGGGCGGCTGTTTTTTTCCATGGCCCATCTCCGATAGGTGTGCTACTGGCCTCCAGACCCAGGATTTCCTTACCCAGTGGTTCCTCATCCAACGCCTTCGCTGCACCTTCCTACTCCCACAGCCCCTGCTGCTCGGCCTGCTGCTGCTCCTCCTCCCGCTCTGCCCCTGTCTCTGCCCTTGCCCTCGTCGTCTCATCGTCGTCGCCGCCGTCCGCTCCGCCGCAGCCCTCGCCAGCAGCCCTCGTCGCCATCCTCCTCGCCCTCTGCCGCGCCCTTGCCGCCCCGTTCCGCCCGCGCCCTCGGCTTCGCCTCGCCGCCAGCCCTCGTCACCCTCCTGCGCCCTCACCCTCCCTTGAGCACGGTTCCTGCCTATGCCGTCGTTGCGCAAGCATTTCGCCCTCCGCCTCGCCCACGCCCGTTTCTGGGTACGGGCTGGGGCCGAGTGGCAAAGCGAAGGGTGAGCACGCGGAGGGCGAGGACGAGGGCGAGGGCACCGTGCTAGCAGGGACGCAGAGGGGAAGGGCGGGGACGCGGAGGGCCAGGACGAGGGCGAGGGCGCGCAAGGCGTGTCCTCGCCCTCGTCGCCGTGCTCGCCGCCTTCGCCGCGCCCCCCCGACATCCGATGCCCCGATGTTTTTAAATACAGGGTCTCCGCAAGTCCCGGCGGCCGTTTCCCCGGGGCCCGCTTTTATCGTCCCGAGCCAGTTTTGCCGTCCCCGGACCCCGCGAGGGTCCCTGGAGGGCCAGACCAGCAACGGCCTGAGATTTCCCGTCGTGATCTTGTCCGCGACGCGAGCGTGTCTGGGCCTGCAGCGCCCCCGTTCCCCAGCATTGCCGCAGGTGCCGCGGAGCTGCCCGCCGCCCCGCCGCCGCTCTCTTGGGCGCGCGCGCCAGGCGGCGAGCCATCGGGGGCGGCCAGCGCGGCGGGGGCGGCGAGGCGACGGCCAGAGAGGATGACTCTCGGGGCGCACGTGGAGGGTCAGCAGTGGTAAGGCTTCGGGCAGCGCGCAGTCCCCCCTCCCCCATGCAGCGGCAGCCTGCCTCAACAGGCCCCCCGAGTAGTCCCAGCTGGCCTCGACAGGCCCACCGGCGGTGTCGACACCTCACCCCTGGGGCGAGGAGCCCGCCCGGGGCGCCGTTGCAGGCGGCGCCGGGGTGCTGAGGCCGCCCTGGACTGCTCAGGAGGCCTGTTGAGGCCAGCTGGGACTACTCGGGGGGGCCTGCTGAGGCGAGCTGGGTGGGACTACCCGGGGAGACTGTCTGTGCGCAAACCGAACCCTTACCATGAGCGGCCGCTCTGATTGTGGCTGATCCGGATTTGGGAGCCAAGTTTGGGAAAGAACATATTCCAATGGCATGTTGCCGTGAGTAGCCCGTCAGCGTATGATTATTTAATCGCTTCGCTCATGCCGCCGGCCCTGGAGCCCTCTTTAGGGTCTCTTGGGGGCCTCTTGGGGACCTCTTGGGAGTCTCTTGGGGCTCCTTGGCGGCGTTTTGGAGGCCCCCAGGGCCTCTTGGGGGGCTCTTGGGGGTAGTCGATTGCGGCTCCCCCCTCGGAGGCCACGATCCTCGTGAGGGGTGTCGAAAAATACCCTCCCCTGGAGTGGTCTGGTGGCTTCTCCCGGGCTTCTCTCGGGACCTTGCCGGGGTACTTTTCGTCCGGGGGCCCCCAGGGGCCGCTCCGCGCGCGCGAACTAGAAATATTGTTAACAAGTTACCAGAGATCTTAGCACGCCTCTGGCCCGTTGGGCCGGCGAATTTCGCTTTTGTCCGAGTGGTTGGTGCTTCTTCAACAGCAACGCGTTGATGGTCTCCCCACGGCTGCGTGTCATTGACATTGCGTTTGCCCCACAGTAGTGGAGCCGATCGCCCCTTTTCGCTCTCGGCTCGGCTGGGTTTGGGACCCCACTCCGCGGCTTGCTGGGGCTTGCGGCGCCCTGGCCCGGGTCAGTGCGACCCCCGCATGCGACCGTCTCGCGAATCGACGCTGGCACGCCGTCGACGCACAGTCGTCGACGATCCTTTAGGTCGCGTGTTAGCCCAATGTGTGTTTGCCCCCGCTCAGTTCCCCCGACAGCACGCAGCGCGTGTCGGCCTGCATCACATCTCCTGCGTCGTGTCGAAGGGCTTCGGTAGACGAACACACGTTGGCGCTAACACACTTCTTCACGAGCGGCGACCGTACCCATGTCCACGCCCTCGCGGTCTGGACTCCGAGGCGTGATCCCGCGGATACGCGGCCGCACAGATAAGTCGATGGGCTTGTTTTCCACCACCACCACCACCATACGTAGGAGGGGGAGGAGGTCCTCGTCCTTCTCTTCTTCCTCCTCCTCCACCTCATCCTCCTACTCCTCCTCCTCCTCCACCTCCTTCCCCCCTCCAACTTATGGTGGTGGTGGTGGAAAACAGGCCCATCATAGTTCCGCGCGTGGCATCCGCGAAAAAGCGCCCCGTACCCGCGGGGTCGCGGCCCAGGGCCCGCCCTGCGAGGCCGTGGATACGGATGCAGTCGAAACTATTGGTAAGGATTGGTAACCTTCCCAAGGGTACCCTTGCAGCCCTTCCTCTTTGGGTCATCCTTGATTTTTTCGATGGCCCGCCGCGCTCCAAAAAGCCTCAACACGGGCGTCCAAGGGGCTTGCATTCTGATCGCGCAGCCTTACCATCAGTTTTGGTTGCGTCGGGTCCCCAGAAGTCCCGGCGCACTCCTGGGGACTGGTTTTTCATTCTCGTTCGTTTTTCTCTTGCGGGCCCAGGGCTCGGATGGGGCTTCCAGGGGCCGAATTTTTAATTCTCGTTCGTTTTTCTCTTGCGGGCCCAGGGCTCGGATGGGGCTTCCCGGGGCCGAACAAACGCGGAAAAACATTGCTGAGTTTTTCAATACGTTGGATTTTGGGGTCCTCTCCTCTCTCGGCGGCGGGCGCGGGGGGGAAATGAGAAGGGGCGGGACTTCTGAGGCTTCTGAGAAGTTTCTGGACTTCTTAGAGGGCTTCTGAGAAGTTCTGTTTGTGTTCGAAATAGGCCAAGGAAACGTCTCAGAAGCCCCCCGGACTTCTAAGAAGTCCCGCGGCCTTCTGAGAAGGCCTTCTCCTTCTCATTTCCCCCCTGGGCTCGTCGCCTACTCTCGCCGCCCCCGCCGCGGCGGCCGCCCCGGCAGCGGCCGCGGACCCGCCGCCCGCCCTGCCCGCCCTTCCCGGGCCCGCGGCGCCCGCCGCGGCGGAGAGCGGGGCGCCGCCCCGGCGCCCTCCGAGGGCGGCGTCGGCGCCCCGGGAGGCGCCCTGCACGGCACGGCGGCGGCGGCGGCGGCGACGGCGACGGCGGCAACCATGAGGACGGCGACGACGACGACGACGACGGCGACGATGACGACGACGACGACGACGACGACGGCGGCGGTGACGACGACGACGGCGGCGGCGGCGGCGGCTGCGGCGGCAGCTGCGGCTGCCGCGGCGGCGGTGACGGACGTCGGACGACGCACGACGACGACGACGACGACGACGACGACGACGACGACGACGACGACGACGATGGCGAAGGCGGCGGCGGCAGCTGCGGCGGCGACTGCGGCGGCAGCGGCGGCGGCGACGGACGTCGGACGGCGGACCAGGGACCACGCTGCGCGGCGGATGGGCGGCGCAGTCGCGTTGGGTCGATGGTCGCAATCGTTGGTTGATCGTCGGCCGTCATCGACCTCGTGAGTTTGGCTGCCTGAGCAGGTCGTCGTCGCCGATGCCCGTCTTCGGATCGTCGTCGGCGTCGTCCTACTCCCCCTCTTTTTTGATGAAAGCGATTTAGCTTGTGCTCAAGCCGTCCGTAACCAAATAACATATTAAACGTGCAAAATAATTCCATGCATTGGATGGCATGGTATAGCTTCGACTACGTAAACACGCTGGACACATTGCTCTGAAAAAACTGATGCGTTATTGGGCCGTGTGTTTGAAGTAAGGATTCCGAAAATTTCGCTGGCAAACGATTTGGGAGTATTAGTTCGTGGGGTCCTTCTGGTCCCAGAAACTTGCTCCTGTTCACCTCCCGCACCCATCCCTCCTCGCCCCTCCCCATCGCCTCTCCCCGCTCCTCCCGGCGTCGCCCTCGCCAGCGGCTGCGGCGGCAATGGCGGACCTCGGCGCAGTCGTCGGCGCCACCTTTGCCTGCTGCACGGCGGCGGCGTCGGTGTACTCGGCGTCGTCGCCTGCGCCCTCCCCCCTGCCGCATCGGCGACGAGGCCCGCGCTAGCTTCGAGGAGGCGCCCGCCGCGGAGGCGCCCCCCGCGGCGCCGCATGCGGAGCCCCGGGCGGCAGAGCCAGACTTCTCGCAGGAGGGCGACGCGGCAGAGGGAGGCCTTCGTCGCAGCCGGCGGGTCCAGCTTGCGCGCTGTGGCGGCGCCGCCGCTCTCGCGGCGGCGTCGCCGACTGCGGCGTCGTCGACGGCGGCGGGCCGTCGGCGGCCGTCGGCGTCGACGTGCGCCGGCGACGTTGGCGGCGGCCTCGACGTCGTCGGCGTCGGCGTCGACGGCGACCGTCGTCGGCGACGACGTTGGCGATTTCTCTGCCGGCGGCGTCGACGACGTCCGCGTCGGCGTGGGCGTGGGCGGCGTCGGCGTCGGCGTCGGCATCGGCGTCGGCGTCGTGTTCCCCTAGGGAGGGAGGAAAGGGTGGGCCGGTGGAGAGGAGCCCCATTGACATGGGAGGGAGAGAGAGGAGGGAGGAGGAGGAGGAGGAGGAGGAGGAGGAGGAGGAATCAGAGCCCCGAATCATCAGGTGTAACTCGGGTCAGGGATAACTCGGGTTCGTTTTTCGGGACTCCGAACCCGACTTACCCCGGACCCGAGTTACCCCGGATAACTCGGGCGTCCAGGGCCCCGAATCATCAGGGGTAACTCGGGTCAGGGATAACTCGGGTTCCTTTTTCGGGAAAGAGTTACCCCGGAGAGGAGGGGGGGCGCCCAAAGGAAGAGGAGGGGGAGGCGGGGGAGGACAAGCTAGGTGCGCTCGCGTCATATCTGACATCCTACCCCTTCCTCCCATCCCTTGCCATGGCGCAGATCCCCTCTCTACTCGCTCAGTCGGATGTCGAGCAGGGCAATGATCCCGAAAGGGTACGCGATGCATTGTAGAGCAAGGCATGGCATGGCGTAGAAGCGCACCGCAAAGCGTAGCACCAACCGAGCATTGCATTGCATGCCGTGGCATGGCACGGGAAATGACGCCAGCGCTGCAGCGGGAGCACGAGTCGAAACGAGCGGAAGCGCGGAAATGAGGCCAGCGCTGCAGCGGGAGCACGATTCGAAACGAGCGGAAGCACGGAAATGAGGCCAGCGCTGCAGCGGGAGCACGATTCGGAATGAGCGGGGCCCGAAAATGAGGCTGGCGCCTCAGCGAGAGCAGCATTTTGGAAAACATGCAGGCGAAAACCCAACTCCGGGGAAACTTGTGTGTAAAAAACAGTACGCGGGGGGGATCGGCCACTTTCAAACCGTCATCAGGGGAAGAGGGAGAATAGCATTCATATTGAGTAATTGTAGAGGGGGAGGAGGAGGGGTGGGGGGGGAGGAGAATGAAGACGAAGGCGAAGGAGTGAAGCCGGCGGAGGGGAATGAGGGAATGAGGAGGCCTGAGGATGAAAACGACGAGGCGGGAAAGGGAGGAGGAGGACGACGACGACGACGACGAAGATGAGGACGATCAGGGGATGGGGGGAAGGCGGGAGGAGGAGGAGGAGGAGGAGGAGGAACAGCAGCGACAAGGACGATTACGATCAATTTCAGTATGTTGTTTCTAGAGTTCGCGATGAAAAAGGACGAGGTATGAGGAGCAGAGAGAAGGGGAGACGGAGGAGGAGGAGGAGGAGGAGGAGGAGGAGGAGGAGGAGGAGGAGGAGGAGGGGAAGGAGGAGGAGAATGAGGAGAAGGAGGAGGAAGAGGGGGAGGAGGTAGAATGAGGTGGAGGCGGAGGTGAATAAGGAGGCGGAAATATGAGGAGAGAGGAGGCGAGGGGGAGGAGGAGGGAGGAGGAGGGAGGAGGAGGAGGAGGAGGAGGAGGAGGAGGAGGAGGAGCAGGAGGAGGAGGAGGAGGAGGAGGAGGTAGGAGGACGATGACGACGACGAGGACGTGGAGGACGAGGAGGAGTCAGGAGGAGGGGCGAGAGGGCTGGACCAGCGGGTGCAAAGAGGGCCTCCTAAAGCAGAACCGTCCGACGACCTGCTCGTGGATGCGGGGCTGGCGCTCACGGGAAAGCAACCCCCAACAACACAGAACAGGACGGCGGTCATCAGAACCCCCCTCCTCGTTCCCCCCGGGCACACAAGCCGCAGGAATCCCAAGAGCCGCCCATGACGACCCCTCACATTTTGCCCTCGTCCCCCTGGGCGCTGCTGGACGGCTCAAGACGCCGCAGGCATCCCCAAGAGCCGCCCAAGACGACCCCTTCCATTTTGTCCTCGTGCCCCCAGGCACTGCTGGACGCGCTGGGCGCCCTCGGCGCGGCGCTCGGCCAGGGCGCGCAGGCAGTCCTCCTGGGGCTCCTGGAGGGCGTGGCGGAGGGCGCCGGCAGCGTGTTCGGCGAGGCCAGGCGGGGGCTCGGAGGGTCTCGACGGGACTCACTTCGATCCCTCCGATTCGGTTGGGTTCGTTTTCGATCGATTCCGGTTCCGATTTGACTCGATTTCGGATTCCGATTTGGGCTTCGGTTTCGCAACGGAGACCTGAATAGCTTGCCGATTTCCGCCGATTCGACTTCTCCCGGCTTGGCTGCCGACCTCTGCCGATCCGGTTCATTTCGATCGCCGATCCGACATCGATTCGATGTTGGGCTCTCCTGCTCGATGTATACAGCACGCCGTTGGTATGTCGAACAGCCAGTGAGTTCGGCGAGGGAATTCGGCGTACAGACGCTCCAGCGCCCCACGGGTTGGGAAGCTGGGACGTCGACGCACAGAGCGCATTGGCCGACCAGACGATTTGGTGTAAATGTCGAGCCCCCTGAAGCGGCGGCTGAGGGGGGAACCCCACCTCCTCGCGTCGTGAAGAAATCACGGCGTGAGCTATTTCTTGCAACGCTCGGCATTGGGGCCGGGACCGTCCAACATTGCCTGGGATGGTAACTCCGTCCCGGGGATGGGGTCCAGATCTCGGGGGTCCATTATGTGAAAAAATCACGGTGTCGGAGTTGTGGGGAGGAGGGGGGTGGAGGGAGGGCGGCGGCGGAGGTGACTACCACCATCATCTCGTCGCTCATGGTGTTCCGTTGGAGTAAGAAACGTCCGTGCAGATTCAAATAACATCGTTACATCATTTGCGGGAGGGCGAGGCAGTCGGGGAGGGAGGGCAGGGAATTCACATTGGATGCGGAAGATCGGGTGGTGGTGATGACATCGGTGATTGTGGTGACGGTGGTGATGGTGGTAGTGATGATGGTGGCAGTGATGGTGATGGTGATGTGATGGTGATCGTGATGGTGATGGTCATGATGAGGATGCGGACGACGATGGCGATGAGGATGAGGACGAGGATGAGGATATGTGTGATGCGGATGAGGATGAGGATATGGATGATGGCGATGATGTTGCTACTGATGCTGATGCTGATGATGGTGATGATGATGACGATGATGATGGTGATGATGGTGATACTGATGCTGATGATGGTGATGGCGGTGATAATGGGGATGGGGATGGGGATGGGGATGATCGCGATGACGATGACGGTGACGATGGCAATGCTGATGTTGATGTTGATGACGTTGTTGGTGACAATGGTGGTGGTGGTGATGGTGGTGATGATTGGTCATGATGATGATGCTGATGATGATGATAATGATATGGTGATGGTTGACGATGATGACGAAGACGATGACGGTGACGATTGTTATGCTGATGCTGCTGGCGATGCTGATGACGATTGTGATGATGGTGATGGAGGAGATAATGGGGATGGGGACAGTGATGGTGATTTCGATGGTAACGATGGTGACGATGTTGATGCTTATGCTGATGCTGCTGATGGCGATGCTGATGATGACGGTGGTGGTGATGGTGATGGTGGTGATGGTGATTGTGTTGCTGGTGCTGGTGATGGTGCTGACAGACATGAGGTCTATGGTAATGTTGGTTGATGGAGACGGGAGTGGGGATGGCCACGATCAACGCGGAGAGGCCGCCGACACCTTCGCCGCCGCGGGCGCCCCGGGCGCGCTCTTTGCCGCCGGGCTCGCGCTCGTGCTCGCCAGCGGTGCGTTGGGCGGCGGCGCGGGGCCGCCGACGCGCGCGCCGTGCGTCGTACCCGCTGAGGCCAGCGGCGCCACGCAGCAGGCGCGGGGGTTCGGCGGCGGCGGCGCCGTTCTTGCGATCGGCGATCGGCGATCGCCGGTGTCGTCGGCGTCTTGGGGCGTCCGTCGTCGTGGTCTTTGCGGGGACTGTGAGGAAGGAGACGGAGGGGGAGGAGGACGAGGAGAAGGAGGAGGAGGAGGAGGAGGACGAGGACGACGAGGACGACGAGGACGACGAGGACGAGGAGGAAGGGAGCAGGATGGGGAGGGGGAGGGGGAGGGGGAGGGGGAGGATCCGGGACTTCAATGACTCGGCCGAGAAACGAGGGAGCCACGAACTTATGGGAAAACGCTGATAACCCATAGCTACGTGGATGTAAACGTTTAGGAGAATCCCAATACGCGGGTGGCACCAGGCACTTAAGGCCGTGGATCTGAACCGACTGGTCCCCCAGGTAATTTGGCCAGGACAACGGGCCATGAGCACATGGGATTGTCGCGTGGAGGTTGACACCCACATCTCAGAGAATGAACAAAAAGGGACCTCGGTGACCATGCGGTGGCCATGGAGGAGCTCATAGGGCGCAGGCTCGATACTAGACACAGCTCGCCGAGCACAGTTATCGGCACCACTAGACACAGTCGGCACTTGGGGTTCCAGCGGAGCCCTCCTCAAAAATTGTTGCCGATCGTCTGATCCTGATGGCCGACCTCGGATCTTAGGACCCTGACCGCCGCCCGCATTTTTTGCGATGACATCAATGCGCGCCGTCGGCAGCGGAAAGGCAGCAGCGGAAGAGGAGGAGGAGGAGGAGGAGGGGAAAAGGACCAGCGTAAACGCAAGACTCCTAAACGATGTTGGAACAAACCCTCCCCCAAGTTCCCTCTTCAGAGGCTCCTACAACAATTAATGTCCACTTCAGTTCCACTGAAGGACCCCATTGGGAGACAAAGGTTTGACAATCATGATGTGTGCTCAAAAGCATTATCGGGATTTCAACGCCACGAATGAACTTGTCTGTTGAGTTTGAACGAGCCAGAATCGTGCCAGAAAGTCATTCCAGGGACTTCAGCACCGCGAATTATCGTAACTGTTGTGCCCTGGCAATCTTCAATCTTTCCAGGACGCAGTTTCTGGTACGTTAACCATGGGAGCCCATGGAACCCGCGTACATGTTTCAGACGAAAGTGCGCGGCGCCAAGGGTAGAGCCACATTTTGACCAGGAACCGTCATTACTCCGCGAAACTCTTGCATCTGTTATGACGATTGCTCGCGGCCCTAATGCGAGAGCCACATGTTGAAAACCATATACCGTCAATCAGTGAAGCTGTTGCCGTCTTTTAAAACGCATGCGCGCGACGTGAAGGCGAGAGCCACACTTTGAAAATCACCTGCCCTGAATCCGTGAAGCTCTTGCATCCTCCTCCTCCTCCTCCTCCTCCTGCTCCGGTTCCTCCTCCTCCTCCTTCTCTTCCTCCTCCTCTTCATCCTCCCCGCATCCTCCTCCTCCTCCTTTTCCTCCTCCTCCTCCTCCTCCTCCTCCTCCTCCTTCCCCCTAGCCGATCTGGCTCAAGCCGTTGGTGCCTGAGTTTGCAACCGCGTGCTTCAGAACGGCTCGCGCTTGCGAGCCTTGCGATTGCTCTCAGGGGCTTCCGAGGCCACAGTCCCTTCGCCGCGGGACGCATCCCGCATGTCATGAGTCCTCCTGGTGGCCAGGTCCTGGCGGGGCTGCGGGTGCCCTGCTTGGGCTGCGCTTGCGGCTGCGACGACAACTGGGCGTCGAGGGCATTTTGTCGCCAGTGTGGTCGGCCTGTGGCGCAGCGGACAATCCAGGCGGCGAAGAAGGCTGCAGCGGCTGCGAAGGATCCATCTCCTGGGGCCAAGCGGCCGCCACATGGGCAGTGGGCCCAAGACCACCCTGGCAATGGCAGCGCGACGATGCTCAAGCAGCAACTCCAGCGGCACTGGCAAGGCACCGCTTGCCGGCGGCGGGTCGCAGCCTCCGTGTGCGTCGCGGCCCCCGTCCGGTGCTGCTGCGCCGCTTCGGATGCTGGATTACCTCAAGACGCTGTGGGCCGACCATTCTGCCATCGCGGCCGTGGAGGAAGCGGAGCGCACGGCTACGGAGTCCAAGAAGAAACCCCCCACGTAGCAGGCGGCGCGGTGGAAGGTGGAGAAACTCGAGTCAAATATCAAGAAGCAGGAGGCCCGCTCCGAGGACATCGAGCGCCAGAAGCTCGCCCTGGACGTCGAGCTCGCGACGCTCAGGGGGTCCATCGCCAAGGCCACGGAGGGCCCCGAGGGTGCATAGGCTTTGCTGTGCAGGGCCCACGCCAGCAAGCTCTCCAACCCGATTAGGGCAGTGTCTGTTGGGTTGTCCAGCGCCGTGATCGACTCAGAGGCGTTCCCGACCTTGCGGAGGCTCCACCGGGCTGCTGACGAAGAGACTGAGCGCGCTCGCGAGGTTGTTGGTCCTTCTGCTGGCAGCCCCGACCAGCGCCCGCCAGGTGGCGGAGGGGACTCACCAGGACCAGGTAACACAGAAGCAGGTGGCCAGCATGTCCATGAGGGTTACGGCGACGACGACGACCATCGACATGGAGTTCCTGGCCCAGGGATTCGAGCAGAAGCAGAAGGATTTCCAGGAAGCTGCTGAACGCCTCCGCACGGCTGCGCCCGATGACTAGGGTGAAGCAAAGTGGAAGTGCAAGGAGGCCGTTGTTGCCCTTGGCTTGAGCATCGAGCGGGCGCGGACTGCTCGCCCGGCCCCCTTTTCGGCATGGGCGCGACGGCGCGGCCGCCGCTCGGCGGCAGTCTGGCCTCGGCGAAGCCGTCGTCGCAGAGGAGACGCCCCCCTCGGGCCCGAGAGGTCAGCGAAGAGGGCAAAGGCGCATGGACTTCGTCTTCAGGCGCAAGAGGTTGGAGTTCGGCGGCTGCGGGCGGCGCGACCACGTCGGGGTCGAAGGCGTCAATGGGGATGGCTTCGTCGACGGGCTCGGCAACCGCGCGCGTGCTCGTCGGGCGCGGCCCGCGGGGCTCGCCTGGCCAGCCCCCCGCCTGCGCAGTGTCGCCGCGGGTTTTGCTGCGAGGCGTCAGGATGCACCCCGCAGGAGGGGAGTTGTGCCCGCGCTGTGCCGATGCCAGGGCGGCAGGAGGCCGCGTGCTCCTCGAGCGCGGCCTGCGGGGCCAACGTGGCCAGCTCCCCGCCTGCGTGGAGTCGTCGCGGACGTTTCTGCGAAGCGCGGGGGCGCGCCCCGCAGGGCGCCCTCGCCTGTCGCCTGGCGACTCGAAAGGGGACTCCTGTCAGGATCTGGCGTGTTTGAGAATCAACGCGAATTCGTGGAACTCGTTCGAGGGCGTCTTCGATCGGCTTAGCGATGTAGGCATGCAAGCCACGAGAGGGCCTTCGATTGTGACATCACTTTACTGCGGGTGTTGGCTGCGCAGGAGACTCGCGTCAAGGTGCGGCACCTGGAGGAGCAGGCCCATGGATGGGCTGACGGCCATGACGCGCTCGCCTCGTTCGAGCGCGCTGAAGCCAGCGTGGGGGGGGGGGGCCCTTGGAGAGCTCGGGGGGGGGGCATGCGTTGGGATCCAGAGGCACTTGCCGTCGAACGCGGTCGCCCTCCAGGAATCGACCCATTTCGCCGTCGGTGCGCGCTCCGCCACTTGAGCGCGGTCTTCCGGTCGGCGGCCCCGGCGGCCTCGACGCGCCTCTCGGTCAAGGAGGGCCCGAAAAAGGGCCCGAACATTGGAAGTTGTTGAAGAACCTGCCCGTGCTCTTGCGTTCCCAGGATGCCCCGTGGCTTTTCCCAGGCCACTGGGACTGCTCCCCATCCGAGATGGTCGATGCAGGCTGGTTCGACTTGTGCATTGGGGCGATCTCCCAGGCCGATTCTCCCGCGCGTCTTATTTAGCACAGGGAGGAGGGGGCGGAAGGAGTCTCGAGATTGGCTACGGTGTGAAGCGAGATCGGCTCCTTTGTGGGGGCGAAAGTGTCGCGCCACTGTTTTCGCCCTGTTGTTGCGCCGGGCCAGGCCACGACGTCGCCGCGCACCTCCGTTGTCGCCCGCGTCGCCTCGCCAGTTGGCGCGGCTAGCTTCGCTATGCCAAGGGCCTTCAAGCAGTTCCCCGTGGCCCCAAGCCGCGGCCCTCGCCAGGGGCCCCAGAAGGCGTTTGGTCCCGCGCCCCCTTGCAAGTCCCGATCAATTTCGCGATGCGCGTGAAGGAGTGTTTAGCAATGCAGAGGCCTGTCTGGGAGTTACTCACGACATCCACGGCGACGAGAGGGACAAGCGCAGGGGACGGGCCGCGGGCCCACAGATGTCTAGGGTGCCCTGCAGGCCCCGTGGGAGAGGGCCGTCGGAGGTTCAGCCCAACCGCCGGGGCCTGGCTAGCCTGTAGGAGGTTCACCTGTCGCGCGACCCAGGCGTCTCGTTCGCTAGGTCGGCGCGGTAGGGGCGCGTTGGGCAAGCGGGCCCGGGCCCAGACCAGCGCGCCCGACGCGACGTTTGCCGCGGCGCCGCCGTCGGCGGGCGCCAGCGAGAGAGCGACCCCGCCAGGCCTCCTGAGGCTGTCCTTCACAAGTTTCTCGTCCGCATAGGCTCTGGCACGGCCGACGACTGCGACGCGACAGTCGGCCAGATGGGCGGGGGCGGAAATGGAGGACTCGGGCCAAGCTGTTTGTCAAGAATGGGGGGCGATCGCTCTCGCGCGCGCCGAGGAGCGTCGGCAGGCCCCGCCTCGCCTTGAGGAGCCTGGAGGGCCCCCTGTCAACGGTGGCCAGGCCGCTGCGCAGCTTCTGGGCGAGCGGCATCCACGCGGGCCCCCTTCTGGCCCTCAAGGCCCGTCGAGAAGTTTGCAGGTCCTGCTCTGAAGGTGCGGGGCAAGGCCAGGACCAGGTCCACCCGAAGTGGGTCCTCCAGTTCCCCGTGGTCTACCAGATGAGGTTTCCGTCGATCCCCCAGGTCTTCGAGAACAACCCCGATTGGTTAAGGGACCTTGTCACGAGTGTCGCTGTCATCCCGAAGCGTGAAGGTGGGGTTCGGCCCATCGGGCTGCTCTGTCTTTCCACGGAAGCATGGAGCAAGCATCGCCAGCCCCTGTGCCGAGAGTGAGAGGTCGCCCACAGCGCGGAGCTTGTTTGGGGCAGCGGCACCACCACTACGTGCGAGAAGGCCGGTTTGACCCACGACCTGGCGGCGGCCTTCTGTCACGCGACGGGCGCGATTAGTGCCGCCGTCTTGCTGGATTCAAAGGAACTCTACGGGCATGCGCGCCGCTGAGATTTGTTCGACGCAGCCCGTCAGTCAGATTTCAGCCTGGAGCCCCCCCATGGGCCAGTCACGATTTGCTCGGGGTTCGGGGCTGTGCTGTGCGACGGGGCGGTCTAGAGTTGTGTCCGGGCGTCTGGGGCGACCGCGGCTGGGTAGTGTTCGGCCGCTGCAACTTGGGCAAAACTGCTCCTCCCGGGACCGTTGACGAAGGCTGTCTCTGGCAGGCCGCAGCTGCCGATTGGGAACGTAGTCGACGACGTGGCTGCCGACGGCGGTCGACAGCCTGTTCCTGTCCTTTCGGGAGCTCGAGCTCCCCGTGCACTTGAAGAAGTGCAAGTTCCTTACCACTTCCGCAGAGCTCGCAGCTCCCCTGATAGACCGCTGGGCCCTCCCCCCACCAGCAAGGTTGACGCGGCCAGCGCCCTAGGGGCCGACGCGAACCTCGGAGGCGTCAGGCGGGCGAATATCAAGAGAGTTCGGCGGGTCAGATCGCGTCGATCGGCACGGGGAATATCTCGGCTTCGAGGCGCAGGGGCAGAGACTAAATGGATCCACGGGGGGGGGCCAACAGCGTCGTCACTACGGGGCGCGCGCGTCACGGGGGCCTCGCCAACGGAGCTCGACCACGTGAGGGCCAGACGTGCAGAAGTCTCGGGGGGCGCTCGAAGGGGGCCTCGATTGGGCTCTGTATGCGCTCGCTCATGGACGGTATCAGGGTGGACCCTTGGGCGATCGATCTCCGGCGCGCCAGCGGGTCTCGGCGGCCTGGGAGGGGGGGGGGGGGGGGGGGCATTCCCGACATCTTGAGCAAGGCGCCGGAGGAGGCCGAGCAACGGCGTGAGGCTTCCTCGAAGCCTTGGATAGGTGCGGAATCTCCAGCGGATGCGTTCTTTCTCACGCCCCAGGGGATAGGCCGGTACTTTCCGACGCTGGGCCCGCGATTCACATGCGTCGATAGGGGCCAGTTTGCGTCGGGAAGGGTGCGGGAGTTGGAGCGAGCCGCGCGTCGGACAGGAGAGCGCTGGACGCGATCTCTCCCCCTTGTGCGCCTCATGTTTTTGGGGCCGCGCATGGCCGCCTGTTTTGCAGGGGGAACAGCGCGTGGACTGAAAGACACCAGCGTGCCCTTAGGTCGTTATTGTTTGTTGGCTCCTGGTGGTCCCAGGCCTTGTTGCGCAAACGCAACCTCGTCGGCAGTCCTGTCTGCGCTCTGCGCGGCAACCCTGGCGGATGTGATGTGCTGTGTTGTCTAATGTGATGTGCTGTCTAGCAGGAGACGAGACATGGTCTCGGTCGGTCTGAGTTGGCGCGCCCGCCGAGCCAAGGAGTTTGGGTTCGAGTCTGGGGAGATGCTCGCGGGAGGGATCTTTCCGAATCCATCGGCCCTCTTTAGCTTTCAGGCCCCCGATCACACGACGCATAGGCACTGCAACCCTGCCTGCGGGTACATGACGGGCCTGCTGTTCACGGGCGGGTCGGGGCTCTGGGCTAGCGTGCCAGAGCTGGCTAGGACCGGCTGGGCCGGTGTGATGCGCGACCCCTTTGGTCAAGTCATAGCAGCAGCTCGCGGGCCCGCCCCCGTGGACGTCGCCCCCCGCCTGACGGCGAGGGGCGGGGAGGATTTTTCGGTGCGCATGTTGACGCAGGTGGATTTGCCTCTGCTTGACATGCACTGCGACTGCAAAGGCGATGTTCAGGCGTTGAACAAGGGTCTCGGGGGCCGGAGCTGGGACCGACCACGCCAGGGCCCACGTGTGAGGTCCGTTTCGGGCTGTGTGTGTTCCAGGGGTGATTCCGCGGCCTACAAGACCAAGGCTCACTGCAGCAGGGCCGACGTGCATTGTGATTTGACCACGCTGCGTCCGCGCCCGCCTGGCCTACTCTGTAAGAACGGTTTTTTGAAGGCAGATCTGCCTTCAAAAAGAACGGTTTTGTGAAGGCAGATCTGCTTTCAAAAAATCTATTCTGTAAGAACGGTTTTTTGAAGGCAGATCTGCCTTCTCTGTAAGAACGGTTTTTTGAAGGCAGATCTGCCTTCAAAAAACCGCTCTCACAGAGTTTTTATTCCCGAGGTGTTTGCCTGCGACGGCCCTTCGGAGGCCTCCGGGGGCCTGCCACCTGGGCCTGGCCCTCCTGGTCCCGTCGGCCCTGGGGGCCTTTCGTCGGCCCCGTTGGGGGGTCGGGTCCCTGGTCGGGCCCTCCCAGGGCGGCGCCTTCGGCTGGGCCGAGGGCGGGCGCGCTGCGAGCTTTTGGCCTCGCGGAGGCCGACTTGCCCTCGGTGACGGAGTTCGGCGCACGCCTCTGCGCCGGCGAGAGGACGCGGCGGGAGAGGGGTCGGACGCTTCAGCCTCCGAGACGAAGCCGAGAAAGCATGACTTGATCGCCTTCAAGGCTCTGGAGAGCATCATATT